GATTTCTCAATAGTCACTTTTACTGGTGGTTTATGGTAGGAGGCAGGGGAGAGGATGTTGTATGTGCCTACTCGTATCAATTTCAGGATAAAAGCAGATTACAGCTTATTCCAACCAAAAATTGATCTGCCTAGTACATTTCACATTGTTGATTTTTTTTTTACTTTGTATATCTTTCAGAAAAAGGATCAATGAAAATGCCAGAAGAACAATAAGAAAAACTGTGGCCAAGCGGATGGCAGGTGTTACCGCCAGTTAATTGCCGGCATTTCAAGTGTCCATATTGGCCAAAGGAAATCTGGCAAACCAAATCCGAGTGCCAGCCACTGCAAGCTGGTTGAAGGCAAAGTGGCTTGACGGACGAGAACAGTAAAAAAATGTTAGAGACTTGGTCGCAATCGCCGGAATGTGCTCGAAAGAGGCAGTCACAGTCAGTTTTGGTTTTGTTTTGTAATTATGTTGGTGGTTTATTCTGATGACTTAACGTTTATTACGGCACCTATGTTCAACAGACGGGGTTGAGATTATGGCTGTTAACCCTCTATGGTATGCACCCATGATGCCATTTGGAAGAATCTCAAGGAAATAATTATTTGGGGGGTACTTTTTGGGGTGCGTGCCTTGAGGTTAACACTGGTACCGTAATGGTAAAAGAGAGTTATAGATTTCAAATTTGAACAACATTTTATTAAAAAACACATTGGGAAATACTAAATAACCCTCAAACCAGGTGGAAATTGCATGCCAATTAAAATATGAAAAATTGTTATTTTTAATAATTCAACAAGATTACAATGTCCTGAAGTTGCCTGCAGGCGCAACATTGTACCATTGTGAAACAACCTTTAGGAATAAAATACGCGAAGAGTCTGGGCATCTTTCATCAAACTTTATATTGGGCCATTTAACCACAATAAGCTCACTGCCTTGTGGAAGTCATGAAGCAGTTCTTGTCTGCAGTGAAGCAACAGGTACGTGACAACACTTTGGACACTGCACTTTCACTATACCCTTACAGCCAGGGTGTTTGCACCGCGCCCTTTTTCTCCCCACCCACACAGCGCCAATGGTTAGTGTGGTCTCTTGATGCACATGTGTTGATGGCACTGATGAGGAAGAACCTCTGTGCTTCTTCTCAGCAGGTCTCTGTCAACATTATGAGATGGTCTCCCCCTCTTCTTCAAAACGTTCCTCTCGTTGCAAAGACAACTTGCAACTTCAGCTTTGAATTTAAGCAGGCTGTATACTTCTTTCTTGGGGATGCCACAGTCCTTGCAGTCCCTGCGGTACAAGAGCCACGCATCCATTGAGTGAAAACCATCATGTGGAACACGATCTTGTGATGCCACTTCCCTGACCTGATCTTTGTTCTGTAGAGAGCAATCAGCGAGTCTAGAAGATCCACTCCTCCCATACTCTTATTGTATGCATGCACGACACTCGGGCAGGTAACCTGCACTGTTTCTTTCTTTTTCTTATCCCATCTTTGCACAGAGATCGTTGGGTTGGCTTAGGGAAAAGGTTGAGAGGAGATGGAGATTGTCATGCCATTTCACTGCCCTGAGTTGGACTCCGTCATAGCTTGTGGCTTTCTCTTCAAAGGTTCCCCTGCCTTTCTTCTTCATTACTTTATCATCGGAGAAGCTGCACCCTGCCAGACGATTGTGCCTTACTGTTCCAACACAGTGGATTTTTCTCTTTTGGAGAATGGTCTGGAGATCCACACTGGTAAACCAGTTATCAAAGAACAGCTTGTGGGATTGGTTGCCTGGGGTGATGCTCGCAAGTCGCAGAACAATGTTGCCACTAGCCCCAATATCTGGCATGGAAAGAAATTGGAAAGATTGGGCCTGTGTGCACTTGGAAGTTGTAAGCGATCCCGTTGCTGTCTGACAAGACATATATTTTGTAGCCCCAGCTCTTTGGTTTTCTGGGGTTGTACTGCTTCAGGCCACTTGTCCCCTTAAATGGCACGATTTGCTCGTCAACACAGAGCCTCTCATCCATCGGAATTGCTTGGAAGCTTTCAAGGAGAGATGTCAGAAGAGGACGCACCTTGTGAAGCTGGTCATGACCAGGCTCTCCACGAGGAATTAGCTGGGTGTTGTCTGCAAAATGGATGTTGCGTTTTATAGCCTCCCAACGATGCATCGTCATAGTATCGGCCACACAGTCCACCCTTGTTGTTGAATTCCAATACATACGAGATCCTGGCAGCCCATATATAGACATGTAAAAACAGATGCCAATAAAGTGCTCTATTTCATAACAGGTGACATTTAGTGGCTTTCCTGGATCACATTGCACAGCATAAAGATTTGTCTGGTCCACCATATTCTTAATGCAGGTTTTTGTTAGCAGGTCGTCCCTGAAGTATTCAATGGGGGACTTCCTTTCTGTGGCATTTGGAAGACTGCCTTTCCATTTTGGGACTGGAAGGATGTTCCTGCAATTATTCCACTCCAGTCTCTTGGCCCTTTTTGGTGTTGGTTGAAGAGGAACTGAAATACAAACAAATGTCCTAAGCATGCTATGAAAATAACAAGATAATGAAATAATTAATTATCAATGCACCTTATACCCTATCTTATACTAGTAATACCTGTTACTGCACTTTCACCCTCGCTGTCCTCATCCTGATTCATATCCTCAGCCTCCTCCTGATCCTCATCCTGATCCTCCACCTGATCCTCATTCTCATCCGCATTCTCGTTCTCAGGCTCATAGTTCTCATCCTGATCCATATCCTCATCCTCCTCCTGATCCTCATTCTCATCCCCATCCTCGTTCTCAGGCTCATAGTTCTCATCCCTCTCATATTCCCCTTGTAAATGTGCCTGCAGCTCGTCTTCATCACTACTAATCTCTAACTCATCCTCACTTACATCAACTCGTAGTGCCAGCTCTACCCTCTTCTTCCTTGAAGAGGCATAGAAAGATGTAACGTTCATTCTGTAAATGGAGGAAAACATTTGTGAAAAATATGAGCATGTGCTCTACAAACAAGATTCACAAAGTTCACTGTAATAGTAGACTATAACCTGCACGCATACATTAATAACCTGAACTTTACCACAACTTTAACATCAAATGTATCTTGGTTAAATTGTAGAGATCTATGATGACTGGTATGCTTTTGAACAGTTTATACCTAAATACACAATACCACCAGTGGCGGCCGGCCCATAGGGGCGCTAGGGGCGCCGCCCCACCTCTTCCCACATACAAAAAAAAATATTAAAAAAAATATTTCAAAAAAAAAATATTTCAAAAATATATATTTTTATATTTTTAATTTTTAATGAACAAGGTAAATATCATACATTTTTGAAATATTTTTTTTTTGAAATATTTTTTTTAATATTTTTTTTTGTNAGAGTTTTTTGCTGTCGATTATGGTGAGTCCAGTGTTTGTTATTTACTCAGTCATGTAACACAAATTAAAATGCAGTGTTTAATGTTACTGTATAAGTTCCAATATAAAATACAGTTGTACACTGTGTGTGTGTGTGTGTGTGTGTGTGTGTGTGTGTGTGTGTGTGTGTGTGTGTGTGTGTGTGCGCGCGCGTCATTGTCCCTGGTCAGTTGAGGGCCCCTCTTCGCCCTGACAGCGTCCTGACTGGGTCTGACCTCCAAACCACTGAGTTCAAAGTTCTAGTATGTGTTTGCATCCAGCTCACTAAGTCAGTCACACACGGCCCTTTGCTTTCCATTCCAGCTTTTCACTCTGAATTTGTTTGGGTTAACACAGAGCATTAGGAGTTGGTAATGTGAAGTTAATGCGGTTAAGGAAAGATCAACCCTTAACCCTGAACATTTTAGTTTAACCTACCATCTACCAAGTGAACTACACAGCATCAACAATCACATGGTACTAGTCCATAAAAGAACAAAATAAACCTGGCTAGAAGTATCGCAAATACTCTAATGCCACCCTTATAAAAGAAGTGAAGCAAACATATCTGAGATGTGCTCTTGAAGCCAAACACACTTTAAACTTCAGTTTAAATGGCATATTCCACATCAAACTAATTTAAAACTAAATACACTTAAGTAACATTTACATAGTCAATTTGCATTGTGGGTAACGTTTGCACCTAGGTTTTGAAACCTAAAAGATGTGTGTAAGAAGAAATGTATTACAGTATATCTCTGGTTCCACTGCATCACTTGTTTGGCTCCTTTTGAAATAAAAACATGAGGGTAATAATAGGATAGTTGTGAACTAATGACTCCAGTGTGCATATTCAAGGTGAGAGTTTTGAAAGAAGTGGTCATATGAGCCGCGGTCTATTTAAATGCATTGACAAGTATACACACACTACACAACTGAGCCAAAACATGCCCATCACCATGTGTGTTGAGGTCACAAACAATAGTGCTCAAGGGGGAGATATACAGCATACTGCACAGAAGAGAGAAAAGGAAAACAAAGATGAAGTTGGGCCCCTTTGCTGGAACTGCTTCCTCCGCAACCCGACCAGAATTTGGCATTTATATGGCTGGCCTCGTTATGCTGCAGTCCAGACAATAAGTAGGGGAGGATAGGGAAAATTCAGTTTGTAAATGCACTTTTTCCCACTAACGAGCCAGTAAGCTGAAACACAAACAGTATACATACAGATGTAAGCTCCCACACTTAATAGTGCTGTACAAAGAAAAGGTTCAGTACTCTCAAGAATAACTGACAAACCAACGTGTTAAGATGATAAAAAGCAATAGAAAAGAGAAAGGAGCATTTTTGTAACACTTACAAATGTACGTTTGTAAGTGTTACAAACGTTGTTTGAAGGCTCATTCAAACGTGAACAGTGTTACAGTTTAACAGATTGTGTGGGTCCTTTCGTTTACTATAGGTGCATTGTGCCTTTAAAAAAGTGGACAAACATGCAGGGGGTAATTGCTGTTCCTGGTGTGAACAGCTCATCAATCACTGACAGATATGGTGTATATTAGCCTTGTTAGCTCTCAAGGTAGCAAGCCAAGTTACATAAGCACACTGAATGGCAGTCAAACATTTGAGCTAGATAAAGAGGCCCTTGAAAGCTGTGAATCCACCTGTGTGCTGTTTGTCTTCCCCCACTCAGCTCCCACACATTGTCCCACAGCGCTCAGATATACAATATACAAGTGTTGTCAAACACAGCGGGGTGTTTGCTCTCCGCCCGGAGTGTGCAGCTTCTCTACTGATGTGTGTGGGCGACAAGCACTCAGTAGCTCCTTGAGGGTTTATATGAGACTGTAGCAGTGAGGGGCCGGTTTGACATTTTAAACTGAGAGCCATAGCTTCTAAAAAGGGGGTCAGTCGTGAAGTTGATGACTATTTCCGTAACTTTTTGTGTGAACGGACAAATGCAACACTTGTAACGTCTCCAGCAGCCTGGTGTCCTAAAAGTTACGTTTCCATAAATAAAAACTACTCTGTCAGTTGTGTTTATTAAGGAAAAATGTCCTCTACTTTGTCCTGACTTTGTTTATTAAATTCAATCTTTAATATGAAAACTTCCTAAACATGTGGATGACAATATACTTAATGAACAATATTTTGACTTCATTGAAAAAAATATTCTTCTATTTTTTTAAAAATTCGGAATAAAGTCACATGCGCCTTTTTGGAACTAAGATTTTATCTCATATGAACTAAGAAAAAATGCGTATCTGATAAAATTAGGAAAAAGGTTTTACATTAATGAGTTCAAAAGTAACAGTAATCAATTGTTATAATAACAATATTATATGAAAATATCCTTATATCATATTAGTTCATTGAATGTAATTATTTAAAAAAAACAAAACATTAATAACCATTTTGCCAAATAGTTAATTATTTAGCCATTTCCCCAAATAACCAATTGAAAATAGGCTACAGATTCCATTGTGATCATATAAAATATCAATATCACATTAGTTCACTGAATAACAATACATTACATTAAACCTGGCCTAATAACTGTTTGGCAAATCAAAAAAGACTTTAGAACATTGGGAATGTCAAATATAGCAATATAATTATATACGACAACAGCATATTTCATTCAGATCATGTACGTTTCAGATTGATTTGAAACGACATACTAGCCTACTCTGCCTGAATGACTTGCGAAGACTGGTAGAAGTCCACATAGGAATGAGGGATACTCCCATTTGTGTGAGTACGTCTTTCTTTTTCACAGCAGTGATCCCAGGTGGACCTGTGTGCATCTTCTTTGGTTCAATTGCATGAGCACCTCTGGTCTCCTGCTTTCCAACTTGCAGTTTGGTCGGACAGCTCATATTTGAACTGAATCCTTTTCGGATCCTCTTTTGTGTAGCACAGCCATTTCATTTTCTGCCAACGAACTGTTTATCCCTCTGTGTCTTTGGTTCTGTTTCGGACCGTGTGTTGTAGGGCTGTGCAATTAATCGTATTTTAATCTCGAATAACGATTTTGGCTAGCAACGAGGTCCACAGTTTCCCCGCAGCGAGGACCCCCCCACCCCCCTGTTGACAGTTCACGAGCGTGCCCCCTCGACTTCATCCACCACATCACAGTCATCAATTAAGGACGCACTTTACAGTGCAACGGCCTACTCAAGCAGCTCGCAAGGACACAAAGATATAACACATGCCATCACATTCTACATAGCTAAAGACATGTGCCCGGTTAGCACGGTTAACAACCAGGGGTTTAAGCAACTGGCAAACACTATGGACAAGCGTTACGCGATGCCATCTCGGTATCATTTCACCAGATCTGCACTGCCTGCCCTACAGATAATGACAAATGTCGTGGGGAAGTTAAAAAAGATGTGGCTTTAGCTGAATACTTTGCAGTTGAGTTATACTTAAAGTTCAGGGTAATCAACTGTTAAAAAGATACTGTTCAAATTATTATTTTATTTTTTAAGTCCAATAAATGGATGTTTTCAAAGTCAATGAATAATCGTATTTAATAATCGTGATATCAATATTGACCAAAATAATCGTGATTATGATTTTTGCCATAATTGAGCAGCCCTAGTGTGTTGTGAGAAGGACATGAAATCCAGAAAGTCACTGTACCCAAGCTCAATCACCTTCTATGGCCTGTTCCTCCTTGCCATCCTCACAAGAGTGTACAGTAGTACCCCTCCGAAATGTACAAAGGCCCTTTTTTTCTGTCGGTCTCAATGGCTGCATGAACACTGTCACATTCCATCTTGCTGTGTCCAGACTCCATGAATGTATGGTCAATAATGGAGATGGGCTAGGTTTTAACTGCATGGAGACACATGGCACTAAAACCAGCATTCCTGTTCTGCCCACCACATGTGTCAGAGTACAGCACCACATGCTCAGTACCTGAAAGAGTTGACAGATACTGGAACATGCATGTGCTGATCTCTGATGAGTTGAATTCTCTGTTGAAGATGGATCTGTAGAAACTAAGTAGGGATGGGTACCGAGAACCGGTACTAAGTCAATACCGGTACCTGATTGGACGGAATCGGTATACCGTTAAGCCGCTGGACAAACGGTGTTGCTATCGGTATATTGCTATATGTGTTACGTCTACTTCCTTAGTTTAACTTTAAACCATTCTGGTTGGTTGGGAACCCTCATCCCGTGTGATGTATCCGGTTTGAGACCCCTCTGATTGGCCACTGTAAATGCCACTCCTCATCTCTCTCAACAGCGCTCTTATTATTGTTGTTGCAGACATGGCGGACAGAGCGAAGCGATCGAAGGTCTGGATGCACTTTAAAAACATTTAGTGGCGATAGNCACACACACACACACACTAGGGGTTTCACAACTACCAATATTTACTATTCGACACGTTTTTCAAAATAGCAGTCGACTAGTTGTTACGTCATAATAAAGACACACAAAGAGAGGTGTACAACTGTATTTTATATTGGAACTTATACAGTAACATTAAACACTGCATTTTAATTTGTGTTACATGACTGAGTAAATAACAAACAGTAA